GGTAAGACCCAAAACTGAAACCTCCCCATTCCTTAACAACATGGTAAATTCCATTTTCAGCATGGCGGGGGTGTCCGGAGCACTTAAAAACCTTTTATTTCGACGCCCATAAACACATATACAATTAAACAAAAAACGTTCTGCATCATCTGCAGCCCAATAGCAATACGTACACCGAACAACAGACCAATCCGTCCAGCCGATCGCGAGAAACAGCTGCTGACAGAAATGTTTCGAACAATAGTAAAACCTCCTCGCGGAAGGATGTCTCCTTCCCCGGAGGTAAAAAGGGGCACCAGCGGAGGTTTTATGGTTTAGTGATAACTTTCGAAAGACTAAACAAAGCCCTAGTTGTTAATCTACCTTCAACTGTATCCAGATCCGTGCCTATCTACATGTAGTTCTTATTACTAGTACATATGCCTGAGTGTGTTAACGTTAGGGTTAGGATTAGGCACGGTTCTGGATAGCCTTCGCGTATAGAAGAACATAGGTGGTTCTGGATCGCGTAAAGAAGAACATAGGTGGTTCTGGATCGCGTATAGAATAACATAGGTGGTTCTGGATCGCGTATAGAAGAACATAGGTGGTTCTGGATCGCGTATAGAATAACATAGGTGGTTCTGGATCGCGTATAGAAGAACATAGGTGGTTCTGGATCGCGTATAGAATAACATACTGGTTCTGGATACACATGGAGTATCCAGCACAGTGCCTTGAGTATGGTTCTGGATGATCATAATGGTTCTGGATAAAGGTTCTGGATACAAAATGCTCCATCCATAAAATAGTTGCGTCGCGTGATGTTTTCAGTAACTAAGGATGAATGCCCCTATATTTGGCATTTTTATTTTGCGGTTTTTGAAGTGCATTTGTTGTTAAGCTTTCGTAAGTTCCAGTCTTTTTAGTGTGCCCTGTACAGTTTCCGGCATTAAAGTAAAGAGGCCTGTAAAGGTAAAAGTAAATGTATTCCCACATTCTTTCTGAGGCTTAAGGGCAGTGAGTTGTTAATCCACTGTATTGGAAGGTGGAGCCCATCCCTCTCTTTCTACCACCTTTACCTCCCCAACCCAAGTCAGGAACCCATTTTACACCTGGATGGAGTGAGAAAAGTGCACAACGTATTGCCGGGAATGTAAGGAATCGAACCAACGACTTCTCTTGCGTCCGCTTGCCTAGTTGTCCATGCGAACTTACGAGATCGATAAATCTATGTATTGAAACGCCTTTCTAGCCACACAGCCACACACACAGAGACTTAAACTCCTGACTAAGCCACAATTTCACCATACCCACCCATTAGTAAGTCAGTGTGATCTGTTTTCGTCTCTTTAAAAATTCCATCAGGCTTGAACAGCCCATTAAACTTGACGTGCCACCTTGTTTAGACCTTGATTCATCACCCAGGTTGCGAACCCTACTCCTCTTTTTGGTTCCCGGTGATTACAAGTAAATCAGGAAGATTACTGGCTCTAAAAGGGTTGATCTGAAGAACCTTTTGTGGCGAGTCCAGGCGTTTTGGTTGAGCTGGTATCACCAGGGGGGCCACAGTAAGTGGTAATGACGGACATGTTCTTGAGACAAGGGCAACGAGAAAAAAAGTTCGGAGGTATAAATAGAAAGATCATTACCATTTAGTACTTAACCCTTTTGGATGTAGTGTAACCAGTATGGTACATGTACTAACAAGATATACAAGTGAACAGGTGACGATTTTCCTTCCCAGTATTTCTGCTTGAACCGATCCTGACTGCCCAACACAATTAGCAGTTCAACCAATGATAGCATGGCAATTAGCAAGGTTGACCAATGAGAGCGTGGCTTGTCAAATATTTGTATTTTCTACCTGTTGACGCCTTACGAGTGTGTTCAAAAACTGGAAACACAACTGTCATTCATGTTTGTTTACATTCTGGTATTTTGTGGTGGTGTCAGTGCACTTCGAGTAGCCTTTTTATTGCCAACTACAAATGTCAGAAATGTGAGATAATTGCACAAAATATCTTTGTCTTTTTAATAAAAGCACAATCATCCGAAGATTTTGTCAATAGAAATATTTCAATTTTTGGGTCATAAATGTTGCATAATGCCCCTTTCACACCTGTACTGTATGTTTAGGTAACCAGAGAGGCCTGAGTCCAGTACAGATCCAAACCATCCTGGATGCTCACAACAGATACAGGTCGTACGTCTACCCTTCCGCCGCCAACATGAAGAAAATGGTAAGTGTGTGAAGTCGAGTCAAGTTTGTTAGATGTACTATTTTGAAAGTTCATTTATGTTGGTAGTTACATGTTTAGAGTTGAAACTTTAGATCCAACACAAAAAGTTCTCTCACCTAGAGCTTTCGACCAGTCACTCTGGTCTTTCTCAGTAGACCGAGCCAGTGGGGCTTGTCACGTGGCTTCTTTGAAGTGTGACGTCAAAACTGGGTCAAAGGTATCTTGTAGACGATGTCGGCCCCCGTCGCAGTTCAGTGAATATAGTATAATAATGTCGTCTTATTGTCGGTACCTCATGAATAGATGCTAAGGCCACGTTTCCAAACCGGGACCCAGTCGGGCAGTTTTCGGGAACGGAAAGTATGATATAAAAGACAAAAAACACAAAAAAATGAAAAATTAATCATGAACCGTACCAGGATTTTTGCATATTCCTGATACGTATTGCTTACTATGAATGAAGTCAGTTTTCAGTTTTTATTTCTAAAAAAAGTAATATTCTAGATACTCTCCAAATGGACTTGCAACCAGCCCGACCGGGTCACGGTTTGGAAATACGACATGGCGCAGCTTAGGTTTTCTTTGTTTCCAAGCACTGGAGTGAGCTTGCTTTTTGTAGCCCCCGAATTCTGATTTCTTCATGGTGGTGGCATTGGCCTTGAATTGGGAGCTACCTGCAGTTGCTTGGCCTCCGCGTGGGGGCATACCAAAGATCCCGAAATAGTGCGTCCAGCGACAATCAAGACCGCAACATAACGCTAACGTTTATCCCAATTATCATTCTCTATTTACGAATCTAATAGTATTTTGCTTCTTTATCGTATATTCGTTTGTCTAATATTGCATCTGTCGAAATTCCGAGGCTCTGAATGTAGCATTCTTGTATAAACTACAGGGGATGGGCTATATAAGAGGGCCTGCATGGGGGGCAGTGATTACGAAGTACGCAAAATTTTCGACGCCGATTACAAATTACCTTGAATTCTCGCCTAAGAGCTGATTACGACTTTATTGCTGCCAATGTACTATCACGAATTACGTTGATTTTTGGGGACGCTGCCTACGGGTTACGAAGACTAAAAAAAGGCCTGATTACGCCTTACGAAAAAGGGCATGCAGGCCCCCATATAATAACACATGTGCGCCGCTAAAAGGCACATGTGTGGAACGTGTTTTCGGCATATTTCTGGCCGGGCAAGCCGAACGTAAACAAACCGGTCTGGCATGTCGTTCATGCCGTGTTTTCTCAGGAAATTACAGCAACAGAAATGCAAGGATTTTGTCCATCGACATTTCGGAATCATTCTTGTTTAATTTCTGTGAGAGCAGAAAATATTTAAAATGTATATTGTTTCTACTTTGCCGTTTCGCTCTCTACTAGCCTCGTCTTCTACCCCCTACACTATACTAGAAAATAATCTAAACGTTTTTGCAAAAAAAATTAAAACGTGGCAAACGTGTTAAGAAATATCTTTGCTACAAACGATTTTCAAACTAGACTATAGTGTTGAAATTGGCTACATCATCTATCAAAACATCTCTCCCTCTTGTACATTTAAAGTTTTAAAATTGCATTGTAAAGTTATCCAATGCAATTGCAGGGCGGCAAAACCTAAAAAAATATCCTGGATGAGGTAATTTGTCTGATATTGATATTTACTGCGATTTTTTAGCACATTTTTGTGATCATTTCATACTTGAGGAGTTTGCCCCAAGACAATATGTGAGGAGTCCCTTCTTTTTTTGGTACCACCAGTAATATATATATTATATATAATATATATATAAAACCAGCCTACGATACGAAACAAAACTTTTTGTACAAGTCTGTGTTCCCTAAAACTACGTAATTCAGCCTTTTTACATTGTATTAATAGGCTGCAATTTTGTTTTAGTATTGTTCCTTTTAATATCTTATTCCAAAAATACTTACTCCGGAGTAATATTTTACTCCGGAGCAACACGTTTATAAAGATATATGAAAAGAAAAACTGTTTTCCTTCAGCGACATCGCATTTTTGCCTCACAGATATCAGTATGCTATGGGATACTTTTGATTCAACTTACTATATCTATAATACTACTATAATACTACATTAAAATCACCATAAAATTGAACTTGAAAATCCAGTTGTACTGCAGTGATATCGCTTAATTTGGGTGCCTTTATGAAGTCTAGGCACGTACAGCCTGGTCTTGTTGTCCCTAAATGTGGGTCAAGGTTCTATAAACTGCCTGTAAGGATTAGTCATAGGTCGGGGTCATGACCTCATGACGTAACACTCATCTACTGTCTGCCTGCTGAACTGTCAAGTGTGATGTTGCAAAACCTTTCCTCGATTCCGTACAATAACCTGATTGACAGAAAAAAAAGAAGTACTAGAGTATATAAGATGTTGCTGTAAATTGTAACTTATGTTAAAGGCATCTAATGCGATTTCAGAGCAACAAACTGGAAATATTCTGAATAAGGCAATCTTTATGATATTGACACATACTGCTTCCCATTAGCACATTTCAATCATTATTTCATACTTTGGGTACTTAAAAACTGGAGAAACAAGCGCCAAGATGAGTCCTGTATTTCATGGTCCCCTTCCAGCAACCATTTTCTGTCAGAATTTTGGGTAGTTTTGCTCCATGAGGGTCAATATACATTGGGATAGTGTGGTTTCAACTCAGTATGTAGATACCACAGTACTAGAGTATTGGTTTTGAAAAATCTGGTTTCCAAGCCCTAAAAACTGCACTGGATGATGATGAATTAAGAATAGATGATGCATGGTGATCGACGTAGTTGTCTGTTAGACGCTGCACTGATCTGAGTTTATAGATGATTTTATTATCATCCTACTCGAGTCTTTGTCTGGCTCGCTTCTTATTGACGTAGACTTGTCAATATGAAATATTGTATGTCAGTATGAAAAAGTCGTGCGACGACATACGACCTACGACGAATGTGACCAAGCCCTTACGGGCATCCCAACCATCTCCGGATGACACTGACATGCTGCGCAGTGTTGTACATGGAATCTTGGCAAGTCTGGAGAATTAGAGCCTGTAACATTTCAAACATACAAGGCTACAGTGATCTGTTCCAACTTGCCCGGTCCCTATAGTTCTTACATGTTGGCAGCCATTCACGTCTCACTAATGGTGTACAAGTATCTGTTAAGTAATCCTTAGCAGATAGTGAAGCAACTTATATGTTTTGTGCAGTGTTGTCAGATCTTAGTATGGATTAAAAGTCAATTGTGCTTGTGCAGAACGTTTTGAAACAAACATCTAACAAAACAAGAAATGCAACCAAAGCTATTAGGAGAAACAGAGACAGAACTCAGCCACCCAAAAATACTTCCTTACCCGGAAGTAATGACGATAAGGCCACAACAAGTAATGTGTATGGATGACATCAGCGCGCGCATTAATTTTCGCCTGATTTGGGGAAAAAACAAGATATTTTTTTTGCTTTCTGACAGTGGTCACAATGCTGAAAATGGGCAAAGATGTCTGTTGCCACGCCGGAACGTGGATGGCAGATAAATATGAAGAGAGGAGACAAGAAAAAGCTCAGATTTAATGTTTTGTTTCTTACTTTGATGCTGTGATATGTGATAGTGGCTGTGTATATGTGATGTTCCCACTGAATTAAAACCATTTGTACAATGATTGAGTCAAAATTTTAAAATGTAGGAACCTTGTTTTTTTTCGGCCCATCTTATTTTTTTCGCCCGCTCGCATTAAATTTGGAGTCTGCGGAGGATGTCATCCATAAAATTTACTTGCTGTGGCCTAACGACGATTCCTATCATTTCTTCCACAGGAGTGGGATCATTTGTTACAACAGATGGCCCAGGCCTGGGCAGACGGGTGTAGGTTCCAGAAAGGCGTGGTGTCCACCATCCAACACCCTTACAACCACGCCAGTCTGGGGCAGAACATGGGCATGGTCTTACAGAACTTCAAACCAGTGGAACAGGTGAGGAGCCAAGTTTTTTCCGTCACAAACAAGATACAGAAAAAATAAAGTACTAGAAAAGTAACATTTGCAAAGCAAATGCAGAATGTTTACCTTTGGACATGGTCTGCTCTGTTAATTCTTACTCAAACACATTCACGTACATGAGCTACTAGTATATTGTGACAGGAGCAGAGCAGACCATGTATATACGTAGATACTTGTAAAGTTTCTATTTTATCGCTGTGTATATACACAGGCATGTACATTCTACATGTATGATGTACCAATTTAGAAAGTCAGGGTGCGTGGTCGGAACACACTGAGGTTTTCCACACAAAACTATGGAATTTGTATGTAGGACAGTCCTGTAAAACTTCACATTTCTGGAGCACTTAAAGGGTATATTTTGATCTAGTTGGTTTCAGACTGGCACAAAGAGGGGAGATACTACATCTATGAGACAGGAGAGTGCATGCAGAGACGACCCTTCACCTGTGACGAGTACACACAGGTAAGATTCACTCTAGATAGCTTTCTTCTATTCCTTTATCTAGCACGCATCTAACACGATGTAGCGTTAACGTTCATTTATGAAACTCTTTCGATAAATCTACAAAATGTATCAGCATTCGTTCTGCATAATGACAATGATTTTGTATTTTTTTTTATTTGGCAATGAGACAAATCATTACAAGGGTTATAGTATAATACAGACGTGTATTCTGTAAGTAGTTTGCCGCATACATATATTCTGTACATAGGATGACGTTATTTATACATGTATTTAGCTTTGTTAGATCTTCAGTTGTAGAAGACCATACACAGGTCCCTGTACTTTTTGTTGAGTCAATAAAGAATCTATAATTAGTACAGGCAGATCTGAACTAAGCTCGTAACAGCTGACCCACAAAAACTACAGACGTAATACAAGAAAACGAACAAATGATATAGAACTAGCCACCACACTATAGACTTAAGTTCAAGTGAATTGGTAGAAGTCAATCTGAAACAGGTTCGAACCCGTGACTAGGTGTTCATGCCCAGTGGATTACAAGTTACAGAAAGTTTGTGGCGTCTCCCGTCACGGTCCCTATTGAGGGATATTTTTGTAATGCCCTGATATAGGTGGCCTTTTAAATTCCTCTTTAAAAGATTGGCACCAAATAAAATGTAGGAACTCGAATCGTAACGATTTTCCCTGGGTGTAATAAAACATATGTAAGAATGTAGACTACGCGTGGGGTCTAAAATTATAACCTATAGCCGTGTCTGCTGCCCTGAATTGTGTACCTCCTTTTGGACTGTCTAAATGTCTAGGTCAAGCCTAGCTCGTAACTTTTCACTTTGCACCACGCTGGGAGCACTTCTGCGTTTCCAAACCAGATCTTTAAGCACACTTTAAAGCATGCGTAAAGATACACGCGAAGGAAGAAACGTAACCTTTACGCATACTTTGAGGAGTGCTTAAAGAACGGATTTTGTGCAGTGTAATGTGCGTCTCTTCGGGTTGATTTAGAGGTGAAAGTCGTAATTCTTTGGAACGCATCATTGAGAGGTCAAAGGTGAAAATTCCAGTGCCTGTCAACAGACACTTGATGTCTTCATCATGCGTTCTCAATATGATTTGGATTCTGCTGTTTGTTTTTGTTTGTTTGCTTGTTTGTTTGTTTGCCTGAGCCTTTGTTTATTCATGAAATATTAATATTATTTCTACTGCTAAGCTTAACATTCATGTGAGTGAAAATGTTGTTTAATCTACAGTATGTTTACGATATAACGTATGCATTTTATAATACGTGTCATAAGTTAATATTAGCATCATCATTCCTATAAAACATGTAATTCAACATAACAAAATGTCGTGCCATACTAATCTATCTCATGGATAATAAAATAAAACGAAAAATTCAAAAGTTGACAGTGCCGAAGTATCTATGATATTTTGACGTCACGCTGTAGTCATGACCTTTGACCTTCAGACGCAACAAATGTCACAAGGTCAGGCTGTTTTAACCTTGGATGTATTCGCTAATTTCTTGAGGTTGCACCTATCATACCGGGGATTTTATACTTGGTTGTACTTTTTGAAACGATTAGAGTTCTTCTGAAACACCTTCAGACAAAATTATTCTTCTCAAGTCCCTAAAAACTGACTACAAATGCAGTCATCATTTACTGCCGCCATGACAGTCAGGTCGTGACCTTAACCCCTAGAGGTCACCAATATTGACAAAGGCGATATCGTGTATCCAAGATGGCGGATCGTGTTACAAAAGAAGAGCATCTTCCCACGGTACGGGACAAATATAAACCTGAATCGGACAGTCAGGCTGCAGTACCGAACCATTCCGCCAGGTGGAACGTACGGTGAAGTTCAGCAATACATGTGCATGAAATTGCACGGAAAATATGTGGATTCAATGCAAAACCAAAACAAAAAATCACCACCATACAAAATGTTCCTGCAGCCAAAAATTACCAAACTATGGATTCCTAAATAGTGGAAACAATACAGAAAGAACCTTTTAAATCCACTACTGTATTGTGAAATACACCCTACATGTAGATGCAGATATAGATACCAAAACAATGTCTTTGCGTGAGGACAAATCTTTCAGTTGTCAGTAAACGAGATCGCCTTCCTAATGTGATAATATAGCCGCTCCTACCTTGATCTTTTGACATCCGACATGAACATATACGTCTGTCATCCGGGTTTGGCCGCATAGCAGACTGACTGGCGAGGACGCACACGTGTGATGGGTCCGCACGGAATATTATTACTACTCTGGATACCAGACTAGTATCGGGCCGCTAACCCTTTCCCTTCGGCAGCCAGAAGCCCTTCGCCCGCCGGTCTAAATTGCTGCTACGGGGAGTTGAGCCCGAGGGAAATTTCCCAGACTGGCCCTACAACCAGTCTGGGCCATGGGAAATACACCAGACTGGTTGTAGGGCCAGCCAAACTCCCCCAGGCGGGCGAAGGGCTCTTGGATGCCGAAGGGAACAGCTAGCGGCCCGAAACGAGTTTGGCACCCAGGGTATATTATTACGTGGATACTGGATATATGGGGGGGGGGGCAAAATGAACTGCTTCTAGGCTGGCCTAAAGTGCCCTGGGT